AAGCTTGAATTATGCTCAAAATCAGCTACTATCAATGAGACTTTACTCTCCTTTCACCATTTTTTTCCAGCATTTACGCTTATTGGCGAACTGCTCACCATCTACAATTTCACTTTTTGGCCCCATTCTGACGAAGGAGCACTGTTACTTGCGAAGAATCTCTGAAGAAATAGTGTTGTCAAAATTGCCCAGGAAATAGTGGACACACACTCATTAAGAGTTATTACAATATTCGATTCCAAATTATTGAATTTAAAATGGTTGAGTATCCATATTGCCTGAATAGCATTGAAATTCGGTACTTCCCTTTCACATCCCCTCTCAAACAAAAAACAACGATTCAATAAAACCAACCGCCATTAATTCAGCATCGAACGGATGGACGTGCGATGCGGATCTCGGAACCGCTGCCAATCTATAGGTAGATTTCGATCCTTAAACGAACGGAATTTGGATGAGTTAGCAATATAAATTTCGAAATTCTCCAATTAGCCCATCAAATTTCGAGAACACCTGCCCGTAACTACGAGACTGACTGACTAACCATCTGAAGCTGATGTTGGAGTTCCTTCATTCGATCCTGAGACTGCTCTGGCCGAGTAAGACCGTCGTTCTGCTGCGACCGCTTTTTCTAGCCTCTTTGCCATTGAGTCCACCACCAATGTAGTCGTTGTTGGGCTGGGGGGTCTACTCGTTTTCGTTGTTCTTTCGTAAGGATGATCTCGTGAAGGTACAACACGTGGTCGAAGTGACATCTCGGGAATGTCCCAGCTAATCCCATTCGCGCTTTGCCCTCTGTCTTGATCTTGCAGACGAGGTGTGCTTCTTTTACTCTTCTGAGTTGCATCCGAATTACAAGAGCTTCCTTCAGGTGTGATGGACTGCGCCGCTGATGTGTCATCCGGGCTAATTTCAACTTCATAGCATGCCGATGGGGTGGGACTTGGTGTAGGAGAATGCATGGACTCCGGATCAGGACTGACGAACTGAACGTGACCACCGTCATCAGATGTAGTAGCGACTGAATCTGTTCTTCCAGTTGATGTCGGAATCGCAGGCCACTCCCGCCCCGTACGGGTCGATGGCGATTGTAAAGCAGCTGCCTGGAAAGTAGAACAAGGATCAGAAGAATCACAAGACCATTTTCGATGAATTGAACTGCTGGAGACATTGAAAAATCGTACAAACTTATTGAAATCTCTCACACAGCAGCCAGTGCACTACAATCCCATATAAAAGGGAGGAGAAATCCATGTTTTATCTCCACCTCTCACATTTCCCCTCCTTTATGCGCTCAGTCACCCGCTGCGCTGCTGGAATCATGAAAAAAAAAAACAACCCGCTGCTCATTATACATGCGATTTCCACCATCTGCAGCCCAAGGTGACCGCGGGTCGAGGAAATTTTGACGAATTTAAACTCTCCTGCTTACGCCCCACCACCTAAGCCACCAAAAGGGCGTTGAGCGTGGAGTGCGAAAGGGGAGCATGGGTGGGGGGGGGGGTGAATGCAATAGTCTTTTGTTTCCTACCCCACAGAGAAACACAACAACGCAAACTAACCAGGAAAGGCATTCAACCTTCCCATGGAACTTTGAGATGAGACCCAGATATATCGATAGAGCTTCAAACGCTGATTACAAATATGGAAACTAAAACTGCAAAATGAACCTGCCAAGGAAGTTGTGAGCAGTCAAAGTTGGCTGGAAGTAAAACGCTGCATATAGACCACGCTGGATCCCAGTTTTCAGAGTCGTAGCCGCGAAGAAGTGGTAGTGCCCTTGTTCTTCACCCAGCAGGTCACAACTTCTCTTTCCGTTGGAAAGCAAACTTCGTGAGCACTACCACTACTCCACGGCGAGTTTGAAAGCCCGGAGGCTAGCGCGATTGATAAACAACGCTTTACTTCCAGTCTAAATTTTGAAACTGCCTCGCAACTTCTTGGCAGGTTCCTTTTCCTTTGCCAGTTTTTAGTTCCATATTTGTAATCCACGCGTTTGAGCTCTCTCGATATATGGTCTCTAATCTAAAGTTCCTTGGTAGTCCGTGATCCTATCCTGGTAAGTACTCATTGCATGGATGAATTTTTCTTCCCACTCCCAGTTTTAACTGCACCAATCTCAACATGATAAACTGGGCGACGAAATGGCGGTTCAAAGCAGCAAATTTCACAAGTACTGAAGAATTCCTTGCAAAAACAGTCTGCGCAATGGATATCGGTCATATACACAAGAATTCCGAACATAACGCCAAAATTTTTGCTTTAATGGGATTCTTCTATACGAAAAGGTTTCTCATAGTGGAACCCAAAACGTCAGCAATTCGTCGTCTTTAGGACCTGTTATTCCATCAGCCTGCAATACCCTTTTGTCTTAGTGGCAACTATAGGGGTATTTTCGTTTCAGGGTTGATACCTAAAGGAAGGCAATATATCGCAGTGTACGGAGGCATCCAGAGGGGCTAAGCTAATGGGCAGGAACTTCGGAAAAATGGAAATTTGTCGCGCATCCTCATTACCTCAGTTCCCCCTCCACCCCTTGCACCTGTTTAACGAAAAGAGATTTTCTAGCGGTTCGAGATGCATTGTCACCATAGTACCCCACACCCCGCATATAGCGATAGCGCCTAAAGGAGTTCATAAAAGACATCAGGCAGATACAATACACACGTTTGAACAAAGAGAAAACAGCACCAAACTTCACGGACTACCTCGTCAGTTGCTGGAAGTCTACGTTTTCTCGTTACTGGTGGCGCTCCTCGACGTGGTTGGCCTTCCAATTCGCTGGCCGACGATATTTCCACCAAGACTCCATCCCTTAGAACGCGAAAGTGAGATGCACCGGATCATAAGAATAGATTTTCAAATGAATTACCTACCGGAATGTATATCGCTTTTCTGGCGCAGCAGGAGCTGAATTTGCGGAATACGGAATACGAGGCCTGGAAATGACAATCTTGTTGCTCAACTGTTAAAACCATTCGGAGTGACAAAATACGTAAGACTTAGCAACTCGTATTATGAGGAATGGATCAACTGGATTGACTTACCGTCTCTGCCCTCTAGAGGATTGATTTGGCGAAGAATCGGCCCTTGAAAAAGAAGATCAGCAAGGAGAGCAAAAAAAGACTAAAAGTCATAAGATCTGTGAGCATACTCTGCAGTATAAGTGTCCAATTTGATAGGAAAACCGGATGGTCCACACATCTCGGCAGCTCTTGACTGACGATGCTGGAACATGAACTGAGATGTGAACAGTGCTGAGTTATCGCCAGGTATAGGCGAATCTTCTTCCTACAATGCTTCTTTAACTTATGTCACTTTCAAAACTCATGACTCTTTTGCGCTGCTCCAACAACATTGGCATAGTTTGAATAACTGACCTCCTGATGGCGATCATCTTGCTTGTGAAAAGCGCAATCGTATGGACTCTGAACAATTATTTTACAAATAGAAACAACATTGGATTTGCAGGGAGCCTCACCTTCAGACAACACTCGGTAGAGAACTTTCTCTGGCATTTCATGTGCGCGAACCCTGCACAACTTGGACTCTCACATCGACATCGCATATCAATGGTTCTTCGCCTGGTTGTCGTATATTCAGTACAGAATTCCGCTAGAAGTAACGAAAAAGATTACCAGGAAAATTGTCCGTAACAGATTCTGAGATATTTTGCCACTGTCACTACATAGGCAAATCATCCGGTGAAGAAAACGTAACTAAGGGAAGAGAGGATAAACAACCAGGAAAAAAGTTGAAGTACTGGGAGACGAGCAAGAGGTAATAATGGTAAGTAGGGACTTGAAGAAAACAAACAAACAGAATGGGAGAGAATGGTTGTCCAAGAAATTGCAAAGAGGAAAGATGAGGAACTGCATGACATTGCCAAAAACCAAACAAGTCAGCAAACTCCATCGAATGACACATATGCAAAAAAGGGAGAGTGAGAACAGTCTTCGGACTATCTCTTACAAGACAACGCTTCGAGTCAATCGTCAGATCAGAACGGCACATCCACAGCATAATAACGAGAAAAAGGTGGTTACAATGTTACAGAAGCAAGAAGAAAGGAGATAAGGGACACGTGATTGAATGAGGATGACTGAATGAGGACGGATGAATGTAAGCTGGTACTAATCTCTTGGCTTGAAATCACCCATTTCAGAAAGCAGACGCCAGCTTGATTTCATTACAATAGCAAACAGTACTATATAATACGAAACATGCTACGGGAAGAAACTCACGCGCTACTGTGCGTAACTTGGCCAGATGAGCAGTAGAAGCTGTCACATCCCATGGACCAAACCAGGACGACGCACAATCATATGCTTAAAAGAAGACACTTTATGTTCGACAGGAAAAAGAGAGTTAAATCACTCATTCAAGTGCTCTGGAAAACAACAGTCTAAAAAACCTACTGTCATCAGCAGCCGGCCATTCTGACGGACTCATAGCATCGACATCATGTGGGTCATCCTCCCAGTATAACACCTTAATATCCCTTATTTAACAAGAATGTTCCAAATGGCTAGCATTAACGCAAATAAAATAAGCCACCTTATACATTGATTCCACTAGATCGGTATCTATATCGACGATAATACCCCGATAATAGCGAGCTATGTGACTTCTGCTCTTCGATGCTCGATAATCGGGATTGTAGTGAGGATTTCGAACCTTGAATGGGACTATAGCTTGACTCAAAGTAGACCAAAATCAAAGCTGCCGAATCACCGAGAAGTTAAAGAACTCACGTAAATGCGGTCGTAGAGTTGGAACAAATACCCCGTACCGGGATTGACCAACTTTCCTTCTTCGTTATAAACCGGTACGTAAACCGGTAGCACCTGTTGTTTCAACTAAAACAGAACTACTCAGAACTGTACTCGCAGAATATACCTACACAAATTCACATTTACACCACTTAATTTAATAGTGCCATGTGGAAAAAAAGAGAAAAAAGTTGTGCTGAGTTTAGCTGTAGGACAGCTCATTTGAGGTCTCAGTCCCAGATGAACAAAATGCCCCGCACTTCTATGTTCCAACTTAATGATAAGCCCTCCGACCGACACTCGCACAGCTGTGCATCGTGTCAGCATCACGCAAAAATGGAAACAAAGAACAAGGCAGAGAATAAAGAAAAACAAGCATAAAGCTAGGCACTGTGCTCGTACAAATATCTATTGACCGATTGCTCTTCACTTCCGCCACAAGCAAGCAAAGTTTCCCAAAAGTCCAAGCAAATCGGGATATTGGAAAAATATTTGAAGTGAACTCAAGACATTAAAACAATATTGTAATGCTGTGTGGTGAGATACTACGAGAGCATTACTTCACCCACCCTTTTTCGGCTCATCACCAACGAGTTGGCATACATCTTCAAATCCTTCACAGTATCTAGATGAGAGCTGTCGCCTTCTTCCTCTTCGCGATCCTAAACATACTGTTTTGTATAGCCTATTTGGAGATTAAACAGTGTTCATCATACGATAAGTAATGCTGAAAGAGGGCCTATGATGGTGGGTTTAGACTGGGTACAGGAATCGCGTGCGACTTGTTGAGTATCAAAATAAGTGAGTGTTAATGAATGATCC